GCCCCAGGCCAGCTGAGACTGAGGCTGGTTTGCAGTGTGAGGACCCTGCTGGCGTGCCTCGGGGTGCCTCCATCTTCTCACTTTCTCTGTTAGAAGAAATCTTTTTTTTTTTTTTTTAAGTTTAATTTTTTAAAATTGTCAGTAGTTTTTCTGGAGGTCTAGCTCAGCATAAGCACACTGCAGACTCAGAGCAAGATCTATTGGGGAGGCCAGCAGATGGCATAGTGGTTATGTCGCTGACCCTCCTGCATGGCTGACAGGGGTTCAAGTCCTGGACCCCCGGGACTCAAAAATCATGCTGGGCATGGGTGCATGAGTGCGTGCCCAGGATCCCAGGGAAGAAGGGATCATGGCGTGGCTGTCCCCCTGTGGGGTGATTTCTCCCTTTCCCTGTCTCTCTGTCTCTGTCTCTGGCAAGTGCACACATCCTGTAACTAACTTTAGAAAAAGCAAAACCCAGTTGAGCCTGAGTGAGCCGTGGGGTTCACAGCTGAGCGCCTACCCTTCATGAGAAGGGAGCAGCTCCCCACAGACCACGCTCTGGGGAGACGGGATCTTGGTGCAGGCGCACCCGCACCCGCTGACCTGGCCTGGCCCGTGTCTCCCTCCCAGGTCCATGCCTCCCGCAGCAACAACATGTGCATCGTGGGCGGGTTCACCCAGATGATCCGAGAGGGCGGGGCCCGATCGCTCTGGCGGGGCAACGGCATCAACGTCCTCAAGATCGCCCCCGAGTCGGCCATCAAGTTCATGGCCTACGAACAGGTGAGGGCCCTGAAACTGGGCGCCTGTCATCGCTAGGGGACAGCAGGGGCAGGCGAGAGGCCTGGGTCTGACCCCAGCTCTGCCACCAGCTCCACCTTGGGCCAAGTCCTTCGTCTTTCCATCTCTGGGCAGTGTAAAATGGGCCAGGAACACCCAATTTCAGCTAATCTGGCTCCAGGAAGGAGGGTGGGGCAGGAGCTGGTGCCCTGGTCTCTGGGTGCATGAGTTGTTCTCTGTGTCCCAGATCAAACGTCTTGTCGGGAGTGACCAGGAGACCCTGAGGATCCACGAGCGGCTGGTGGCAGGGTCCTTGGCGGGGGCCATCGCGCAAAGCAGCATCTACCCGATGGAGGTGAGGGCCGTGGCCTGGGAGCGGGCAGCGTGGGGCCGGTGTGAGGCGTGGCCGGGCTCACCTCCTGCCCCACTTCCTGCAGGTCCTGAAGACCCGGATGGCCCTGCGGAAGACAGGCCAGTACTCGGGCATGCTGGACTGCGCCAAGAGGATTCTGGCCAAAGAGGGGGTGGCCGCCTTCTACAAAGGCTATGTCCCCAACATGCTGGGCATCATCCCCTATGCGGGCATCGACCTCGCCGTCTACGAGGTGAGGCCCGGGGACCCCCAGCCCCTAGAACAGCATGAGAAGCTCAGAGACCCCTTCCTACCTCCTCTCCACCCCCGGCCTGTGGTCTTCCTGCCGGGCCTCTGGATTTGTGAGGACCAGAAAGAGCAGCACAGGCTGCTCCTGCACATCTGTCTGCCGCAGGGGTCACCTGCCACCCTGCCTACCCCGACAGCCCCCACGTCCCTGGGGCTCAGCAGGCCAGGCCCAGAGCCTGATGACCCCATACCTCAGCAGTCAGGCTTTCCATCTGGGGAAGGGGCGCTCCTTGTCCTGTCCTGCCCAGGAACCCCAGGGACAGCAAAAACGAGGACCAGGCAGGAACTCGGCAGCCCGGGCCAGGCAGTTGGCTGCGGTGGCTTTGCAACCTCGCCGAGGGCCCCTCACTGCCCCACCTGCTCTCTGGGGTTCATCCCTCCTCCTCTCCATTGCAGACGCTCAAGAACGCCTGGCTCCAGCGCTACGCGGTGAACAGCGCAGACCCCGGCGTGTTCGTGCTCCTGGCCTGCGGCACCATCTCCAGCACCTGCGGCCAGCTGGCCAGCTACCCCCTGGCCCTGGTCAGGACCCGGATGCAGGCGCAAGGTGAGCCTGGTCACAGGCCGGGACCCAGGGCCGTCTCCCAGGTGGTAGGGAGGGGCCCACAGAAGTGCCTGACGGTGACCTCTCTCCTGCAGCCTCCCTTGAGGGTGCCCCAGAGGTGACCATGAGCAGCCTCTTCAAGCAGATCCTGCGGACCGAGGGGGCCTTCGGGCTGTACCGGGGGCTGGCCCCCAACTTCATGAAGGTGATCCCCGCCGTGAGCATCAGCTACGTGGTGTACGAGAACCTGAAGATCACCCTGGGCGTACAGTCCCGGTGACAGTGACGGGAGGGAGTGGCCCTGCCTCGCCCGCGGGACTCGGGATCCTGGGCCACGCCCGGGTGGTGGCAGTCTCATTCTGTGAATGTGCCAACACTACCGACCTTCGCCAAGCTGTGAACCCTGAGGCACGCGCAGGGGATGGGCTGGGAGAGCCAGCCAGGCCCTGGGCTGGTCCTGTTGACCCCAGCCGACCCTCAGGCCTATTCCTGGGAAGGCCTGCAGGCTGCTCAGGGTCCAGGAGTCAGCAGGGTCACCTGACATGCGTAAGGACAGGACGTTTCCTGCCATACCTGCCAGATGGCGAGCTCGAGCTGCCCTGCTTTTCCATCTTGTCCTGGCAGCCAGGCCTCGCCCACGGGCCCTGCCCTCTGGCCTGCTGGGCGCTGCCCTGTGCCCACTCTGCTTCCTCCTCTCCTAGCTTCCTACAGCAGGAGGAGGGCTCCCAGCCCGCTCCTCCGTCTTCTCCCTGCACTTCGGGGGAGAGCGGATTCTGCCTGGCCTCCCACGCACGACCCCCGACCTGCAGCCTCCATGCTGCCTGGCTGTGCAGGGTAGGGGTCTAGCTTCTGTGCCTGTCCTCTTCTGAGCCCCCTGCAGACCGGCCCAGGACGTGCGGTGCACGCAGGGGACGCGGCTGCCTGGCCTCATGGCCGCATGGCTTCGTGGGAGCTGGCCCCGGCTGTCAGGGCAGGCCTGAGGGCAGTGGAGGGTGGTGTTTCAGGGCAAAGGGCAGAGTGGCCCATGCCTGCATGTCCCGGTAAAAGAAGGAAAGGAGGTTGAAGGCCTTAATTATGTATTGTTGGAAAAAGGGTTTTGTTCAGAAAAGCAAGCTGGACAAGTGTCACGCTCCCGGCTTCCCAGAGAAGGCGGAGGAGGGCTGGCGCATTAGTCTGTTTCTGGCCCCGGGGTTTCCTTCTGATCCCAGCGGGGTGAAGAGGGACCAGCCTCACATTCCACTGATGCGAAGTGTAACTGCTCGGAGCCTATTTATTTCGTATTTATTTGAACAGAGTTGTGTCCTAACTATTTTTATAGATTTGTTTAAGTAATAGCCTATCATTTTCGATTTCATTTTGTATTCATATTTATGTTCATGGTTGATTGTACCTTCCACCCCCGCCCGGTGAAGGCAGGGAGCGGGGAGGAAGGAGGGCCACGGAGTGACCCTGCTGCCCACGCCGACGTCACGTCTGTCCAAAGAAATTCCTCTCGGGACTGAGACAGAAAGGCAAGGGGGGGCCTGAGCCTGGGGAAGACGATGCCCTAGGCGAGGGGCTGGGTTTGTCCCCAGCGGCCTTACGGTCTTTGGCTTTAATGGGTTGGGGGAGACCTCGACAGCCTGGACACTGGAAAAGTCCGAATCATTCCCTAACTGGGAGGATCTCCTTGTTTGGCCCTTTCTGAATGACAGGGCAGTGAGACGCCTCACTGTGATTTGGGGCGGGGGCGTCCCCCACCTGTGCCCACGGTCCTCCCACTCCTCCAGAACGGCCTGAGGAGGAGCACCAAGCAGGACGCACCAATCAATGCAAACATGACCATATCTCAGTAGAGAGACTGGAAACTCAGAAAGCAATGGCGGGAGAATCGGAAGTTGTTATCCGAACAGCCTTCTAATAAAGTCGTTTCAAAGCTGACGGCGGAGCGGGGACTCTTTGGCCTCTGCATGGGGCTGTTCACGCGCTCCACGATGAAAACCCACTTTTCTCATCTGAAGCCTAGGTGGCGTCCCCTGCCCAGCGTCATGGGGGCCTGGGGTTCAGGGTGTACTCCGAGGAATGGGGGCCCTTCTTGGACACAGCAGTCCCTGCCCCCCCACACCCCCCGAAGCACCATCTCCATGTGGCCTCCAGACCCCGCTGGCTTCTCTACCTTTCGTCTTCACAGCATCCTCAGTAATCGCATGTTGCTAAGGATTACTTTTAAGTATTTATATAGGTTAAGCATCTCTAATCCAAAATCCGAAATTCTCCAAAATCCAAAACTTTTCTTTAGAGAGATTTTTGCTATAGGACTCATTTTTTTTTTTTTTTTTTTTGAGAGAGAGATTTTCACTGTAGGGCGCGTGCGCTCGCCAGACAGAGAGAGACATAGAGACAGAAAGCGAGAAATCACCCCCCAGGGGGCATGGGCAGGCACGCGCACGGCATGAGTTTTAAGCTGCCAGATCCAGGACTCAAACCGCGGTCGACTACGTGGGAGTCCAGCGACATCGCCATTACGCTAACTGCTGGTTCCCTAGTCGACTCGTATTCTTACCGGAGAGACAGAGACAGGAAGTTTGAAATCACCCCCCAGGGGGCATGGGCAGGCACGCGCACGGCATGAGTTTTAAGCTGCCAGATCCAGGACTCAAACCGCGGTCGACTACGTGGGAGTCCAGTGACGTAACCATTATGCTTTCTGCTGGTCCCCCAAATCCAAAACTTTTTGATGATGCCACAGTGGGAAATCTACACCTGATTCCCTGCTCTTGTCGCGTGCGGCAGCAGGCCAGCGTGGGGAGCCAGCGGTCACAGTGCTCTGGTGCCGAGGCTGTGTGGGAAGGCTCTGGGCCCCACCCCAGGGTGTCCTGCATAGGCTTAGCAGTTGCACACGCCTGCGATCTGGCTGTGGATGCTGGGCCCCAGTGTGAGAACCCTGCAGGGGCGGTGCTCGTGTCGGCCATGTGCTCAAGGAAGGAGCTGCAAGAGGAGAATAGCATATAAAATGACCTCAGGCTGTGTATGGGGCACACGAAACGTGAATTTCACGTTTAAATTTGGGTACTCTCCCCGAGATATCCCACATATATGCAAATATTCCAAAATCTGAAAATAAATCCGAAATCCAAAACACTTCTGGCCCCAGCCATTGTGGATAAGGGATTCTCCCCCTGAGTTTGGCCAACCCTTGTTTTGTTTGTTTTGAAAGGTTTTATGCTATAGGGCGCGTGCACTCACCAGAAAGACAGAGACGGAGAGACAGAAAGTGAGAAATCACCCCCCAGAGGGGATGGCCACACCGCAATCCCTTCTCTCAGGATCTTGGGCATGCACACATGCGCCCGGCGTGAGTTTAAGCCACCGGGTCCGGGACTCGAACCGCGGTCGACTACGTGGGAATCCAGCAACACAGCCATTATGCCAACTGCTGGTCCTGTTTTTTTGTACTAACTCCGGTTCATCATCAAACTGCATCTCCACTCAGCTCACGGGCATCTCAAACTCTGCTTGGCCAAAGCCCACCTGCTTCCCTGACCCTGGAATGGCAGCTCCTTCTAGTGCCTTAAGCCAGAAATGTGGGGGCCTGCGTCAGCACCTCACTGTACTTCCCCGCTCAGAGACAAAAGCAAAACACAGCCGTCCAGTGTCTGCCTCTCACCGAGACCGTCGTCCCCCTCGGCCTTCAAGAGCCCACTCCTCTGCCCTTTGGCTGCCGGGCAGCAGAGCACGTTTTCAGGCCCCCACCCTGCACTGCCAGCCCATGCTGACTGGCTGGGCCTTGTGAGGGGGCCCCCCTAGCCAAAGAGGGGACAGGACGCTGACTGCTGACCCAGAAGCCTTTGGCCCTCCCAGTGTTGGAGGGCTGCCTTGAGTCTGCGTCCACTTTCACTCAGGGCTCCTGGTCCAGGGAGCCAGGGGGCCACTGCTCCCAGCCTGTTTCTTCACTAGCAAGATAGGCACCAACCCTGCTAGCCGGGGGAGGGGAATGGACCTGTCCGGGTTCACACTGAGCGTAAACAGTGGAGCTGAGGTCAGCCAGCCCTGTTGGCATTACCCCCCAACCCCGCAGGGAATGTAGGGGAAGGGTGGGAAGGCGGAGCTCGGGCTCGCTGGGCCCAGCCACCCAGCCCAGGTGTGGACTTAGCCCAGCTGGGAGGTTGGCCAGGCCTGACGGGAGGGGCCGGCAGTGGGGTGCTCTGGGGTCAGGCAGGAGAGGGCCAGGCACAGCTACTCCATCCTGCAGAGGGGTAAACTGAGCCCCAAGACCCCACCCTGTCCCAGTTCCCCAAAGGCCAAGACAAGCCTAGGCCTCCTGTTCTTGCTTCCTGAAACACAATGAAATGAACTCTCCTGGGGGCCGGCTGGTGGCCTGATGGTTAAAGTGCTGGACTCCTATGTGGCCGGCCATGGATCAAGTCCTGGACCTGGTAGCTTGCTTTGTCAGTTTCTCTTTCTCTGATCAAATTTAAAAATAATAATAAATAAGATTAAGTCTTTTAAAAAAAAAAAAAAAGATTAAGTCTTTTTTTCCTTGAGGTTTTAGCCTTAGGATGCATGCGTTTGTCAGAGAGACAGAGACAATGAAAGGGAAAATGAGAAATCACCTCCACAGAGGATGGCCACACCACAATCCCTTCTCCATTTTCCTTCTGGGAACTTGGGCACGCACACATGCCCAGCGTGAGCTTCAAGCCACTGGGTCTGGGACTCGAACCACAGTCAACCATGTGGGAGTCCAGCAACATAACCACTATGCCATCTGCTGGTCCCAAAATTAAATAATTCTTTAAAAAGAAAGAGAGAGGGAGAGAAAGAAGAAAGAAAGAAAGAAAGGCGCTCTCCTGAGCATCCGCCATCGGCAGGGCACGCCCTCAGCCAGGAGGTTAACTACCCCTGTCAGCTGTCTGGGCCATGAGAGGAGCGGCCCCCTGGCCAACAGAGTGCCCCATCCCACCCCCTCACTTGACAGCTGAGGAAACTGACAGCCCGGAGACCCCAGCTCTGGCCCAGGCACCAGCCCCGTGGCTTTCTCTTCCCAGACCACACGTCACATATGTCATGTGTATTCTCGTCCCACAGCTGCTGCGAATGGCCTGGTGACTCGCAGCAGGACATGGGGCCGGCAGGTGGAGCGGAGGTTACACTGCCGGGTCCCACATGGCCGACAGCGCAGCTCAAGTCCTGGACCCGGCGGCTTGACAAGCACTCAAGGCCCACCTGTGAGCCGTGTTCTGGGAGGGGGCAGAGCAGGGACGGCAGCCTGCCCATCCCCTGGTGACCTCTCACCTCACCCCACCCTCTCTCTGGTCAGCACACGCACACGGTAGCAAACGACTGTAAAACAGAACAACCCAGAAACCCCCCCATGGGCTCATCCTCCTTGGAGACCCCTCAGGGACTCCCAGGGAGGAGAGATCTTGCTGGGCTTTTGTTTAGTTTTTGTTACGGGCCCATGTGCTCCCCAGACAGGGAAAGTGAGAAATGCCCCCAGAGATGCCTCTTGGGATTGTGGGCAAGCACACTCGCCCAGCATGTCCTTTAAGCTGCTGGGCCTGGGTATCGAACTGCACAGACAGCCGTGTGGGATCCGGCCACCTCCACCACCATGCCACAGGCCAGCCCCAGATCGTGCTAATTTTGGGACTCTTTCCGATCCTGTTTCCCAGAGCTCTTGACCCTGAGCCCTGGGAACTGTAGGGAACGCGGGGAGGAGGGTGTGTGTGTGGTGAGGACCCCCCTCACTGCCTTCACGGCACCCTGCCCTGCCCCGCCCCGCCCACAAAGGTCAACCGAGGCCATTTCACAGGGGGGAGGGGCTTGCCCAGGTCGCCGTGGACAGCGGCAGGGTCCAAACTCTGGCCTTCCGCGGACAGTAAGCCGGAGCTTTACAAGATGGGACAGAGGTCCCTGGCTGGGGGCGCTGAAACCCTTGCACACTCGCCCCATTGTACAGATGGGTGGAGTCCAATGCCGGCTGCTCGAGTCAACCCTGGCATTGGCCACACGATGGCAGCACGAAGCCGCGCTGCCGGCTCCTACAGGGCTCCGCGGACTCTGGTGCCCCCTGGTGGTTGTGAGAAAACACCGCGGGGCCGAGCCACCGGAAACCGGAGCAGGGTTGTCACCTCCTCGGGAGGGATACCCCAGGGAAAGCAGCTGGGTCCAGGAGTGCCCGGTCACGGCTTCAGGCTGACTGGCTATCTCGGCCCCAGTCACAGGGGACATGGCCCGGCTAGCAGAGCCTTTGGGCTTTCGATCAAGGCGACCCCT